TGCTGTATCTTCATTTTTTTAAAATTATTTAAAATTTTGGGGGGTATCGGGGATTGAACTTGGGTCCTTGGGCTTGAGAGGCAGGCGACGGCACCACTGAGCTAAATCCCCAGCCCTTTAAAAATTATTTTTAATTTCGCCAGGTAGAGGGGTTGAGCAGAGTCTCAGGGGAGCTCTCCCCTCATTTTCCTCCCTTTTCCCCTCCCCTGCTTCCCGGGGGAGGGGAAGAGCCAGTCTTGGAGTTCAGTTTCCCCCCTCCTCCAACTTGGTCTCTGAGTCTTCCTGTAGGTAGGATTTGGATAGGGCCACAGACCATGGGAATAAAGAACCAGAGTGTAAAGTCAGATCCTAAAGTACCCTAGGGGTTCCCCTTCTTCGTAGGGTAGAGTTAAAGGATTTCTCCACCTGAGAGTTAGCACTTGGGATTAGCTCAGAGTCCTGCTCCACCTGGGGGTCAAGCGGCCCTGCATACTTGGTGATCCTGGCACACCTGAGACCTGATCCTTACTACCTTCCTCTTGCTCTCTCAAACGTCTGTCTGGAAGCCAAAGCCCTAGTGGGTGCTGAGCTACAGAGGAGAGGTCAGAGCAAGGAAAAGAGGCCACAGTGCCCTGACCCACCCATCCACAACTTGCTGTTTTCCTCTCCCAATTGTTCTGCCCAAATCTTTTTTTCCAAAATTTATTTTTATTAGTACGTTTGCAAAACATAATGATTGCATTCACTGTGGGAAGCAGGTACATGGACAAACAGATCTTCATTCTTGTTTCCCCTAATATCCTTTTGAGTATAATTTTGTTCATACTGAATCATATAACCTTAAAAGCAATTTTGAAAATAAAAAGAAAAATCACAGTCCTAGCACATTAATCCAATAATCTTCACCTGTATTTCTGAGTTATTCTCAAAGACGTGACTTTATCATTTTTGTTACTTCTCGTTTCATTTTAGTGTTTTTGTTAAAGATACATAGAAAAAGCAAGGTGTGGTGGTGCATGCCTGTAATCCTTGCACTGGGGAAACTGAGGCAGGAGGATTGTCTTGAGTTTGAGTCCAGCCCGGGCTATGTAATGAGTTCAAAACCAGCCTGAATTACATAGTGAGCCCTGTTAAAAAAAAAGATACATAGAAAATTTAAATGAATGAGGGTCACTTTTTTCTTTTCCAATTCCAAACCCTTCTTCAAAGGAACTACTGTTAACAATTTGATGTAAATGTAAATGGTCTGTGTGCTTTCCCTCTTTTTCCTTTTCTATGTAATTAAAAACTATTGGAGACTCCTGTAGTCAGCTCCAGTCCCCACCTGCCCACTGTCCACGCAGGCCTGAGAAGAATGCACTAGGAGACAGAACTAAGACAGGGACAGCGGGTGCCAGGATGGCCAATGCTGGTGCAACTGACAAAGGCCCTGACCAGTCCCAGGCACTGACTTTTATTGGCAATCAGTTGGAGTAAAGGCAACGTGTGCATTCTACGGAAATTCATGTAGACAAGGCTCATAAAGGTCAAGACTAAGCATTCTCAAATTAGGAAGAAAGTTGGGCCAGGAATTTAGCACAGTGGTGCTGCCACCTGCCTTGCAAGCGCAAGGTCCCGAGTTCGAGCACTGATATCAAAACAAAAAAAAAACAAAAAAAACCCCAGGATATATGATTGTAATTAGAACATTGTCCTTCACTCTGAATGTTTTAGTTGTGGGAATGGAATTTGGGTGCGAGTTACTCTGACCTTGGCACATAGACTTTGGCCAGACTCATTTCTATAAACAAGCCAATTGCAGGGCTAACTCTTTACAGCCTGCTTTGGGCATAATCAATAGTACAGTCCTCTACAAAGAACTGTGAGCTTTAAAATCTGCTCATGGCCTTTTTTTTTCTTCCCTAAGACAGCTGAAATTCTTTCTACGTCTTATATATAGATTAACCCTATTTTTTAAAAAACAACTTGTACATTAGATTGTATAGCATGCACATAGCATAGTTTCTTTTGTCTTAAATAATTCCTCTGTTAATGGTTAATTTTCCCCCCTAACTTTTTACTTAGAAATAATAGTCATGAAAAAATACTTCTGTATACATCCGGATGACCAAATTGTGGTTTTTACATGGGTATCACGTGTGTGTTTTCCCAATCTTTCTTCTTTGTGACCCCCTGCTAGGTCTCCAGCCCCTCACCCTCTGGACGATGCTGGCCTCTTCTCCTACCTCACACTGTCATGGCTCACCCCACTCATGATCCAGGGTTTCCGAAACCGCTTAGAAAAGAACTGCATCCCTCTGCTGTCAGTCCATGATGCCGCAGCCAAAAATGTCAAAAGGTGAAGTCACACTGGGCAGCTGCCAGGTGGGTTGAAGCTCATCTTTTGGTGGGACAGTGACCAGGGACAGGTAAACAGAGGATCAGGCATCTTGGCTCTTCGTTCGTCTCATGCCAAATGAAGGATTCTAAGATGGGTTTGTGAATCTCCTGAAATGTGTGTAGATTTAATATATATGGCAGGAGATCTTTTTTGTGGAGCAAGAATTCACATCTAGTTTTTCAGTATTAGGATTAAATCCACGGCTTTTGCACTGAGCTACATCCCCAGGCATTGACTGCTTGCTTGCTTGATTGATTGAGAGTCTTATTGTATTGCTGAATTGCATAGACGAGGCTCAAATTCTTGAGCCTCCTGCTCCACCTTTCCAGAGTTCTGGGATTATGGTATCTTCATACCTGGCTAAAAATTCACATAATTTATGAGATTTTTTTTCAAAGGGCTCAATTTCTAGCTAAGAAAGTTAGAAATTGCTGCTGCCAGTCCCTTCCGATGGTTTCTTCTGGGTCATGTGTCACACAGTGCCACTGGGTATTACATTTTGGGTAAGTGGTAAGCCACCACGAATGAGTCACGTGATTCCATTTCCTGCATTACAAGGTAATGGGAAGGTAATTTTGGGGGTGGAATAATTGACTTTAAATGTCCTTTACTCTTTTAAATGAAGTAGCTTCCCCATGAGAAGAAAATGGAAGTTTCCAGTTGTGTTCTAGGAAGTTATAATCAGACCAGCTTCCCTGGAAAGATTACTTAATGGTTAGGGGACTTTGTGAAATGTTTTATATTATAGTCAGGTCTCAGGGATTAACAAAGTAAATTGTGTATTTGAGGAAAAGAGAAAACCTACTGTACAGAAACAGGTTAAATTTGGACCTGTGCTTTTCAGACTTATTCAGAAAAAGAAAAAGAAAAAAAGGGTCCAAGCAAATGATTTTGGAATAATACCAGAAACTGGTCAGAATCTCTTACCATGATGTCAAGCACAAAGCACTTTCTGACTCCTGTGTCTTTAGGTATAAAACAGTGGGCTGTAAAAATTTTCTCATGGAGCTGGGGATTTAGCTCAGTGGTTCCGCTGCCTGCCTTGCAAGCTCAAGGACCTGAGTTTGATCCCCAGTACCCTCCCCCCAAAAATCTCATGGAAACAATGTCTTTGTAAACTGGGAAGGGTGGAGGGGCTGAAGGGAGGGCTGAGGAATGGAGAAAAAATAAGAACCAAGATAAGTCATGCAAAGGTACAAGATCCTAATGATGAATGTAACTGTATTGTATACCTAAAAATGTACCAATAAACTTAATAAAGATAAAAAAATTCTCTCACAGGCCATCATAGGACTCTTAAGAGTCAAAAGAGGTGGTAAACTCAGTTTAAAGTGTTGGGAAAATGTATTGTAGGCAGGTGGCAAAGTGTCTGCTTCTTTCCCAACCATTGTAAGTCACTGCTGTTCACTTCTAGTTCACCAATTCCACCTTTTTCATTCTAGTTTTTCATTTTATTTATCCATCCATTTGTTTTTCAGGAATGCATGATGCTTTCAAGATTTAGCTATAACGATTTATACTGCTATAAATATTCAGTACAGCAAAAATAGAAAAAAGAAAAAGAAAGTTCAAGATACTTAATACAGAAGGAACAACACATATAGGCAAAGCACCCTTTTGCCAGTCCTAGGTGAAAGCAGTACTGGTGTGGTCATCAGTGATGGGGATCTGACATGAGCAAGCCAGGGAGACACATCCTCACTCACAGATCTGCCTCAGCATTGTGAGAATGGATGCCAGGCACTGTGTGGTCTTAGAGAGTTGAACCTAGCACTACCCTGGAGCTCCTCCATCGAGTGACTTCTGATGTGAGACAGCAGTGGTATTTTCATCACCTTCCAAGTGCTTTTTGCCAAATGGCTTGAGTTTTGAATTTCAGTAAGCTTCTAGGTCAGACTACCACTTTAATAGAAAATACAGGAGATGCAAGATTATGCTAGACAGCATCACAGAGATGCAATTAGTTCCATTCCAAATGGGGGAGATTCTACAGGATAAATAATTCCTTTAACAAATGAATAGCATAGAAGTGGGAGGAGGTGAAGGTGTTGCAGACTGAAATGAGACTCCAGCAGCCTGTCAGGAAGCAACCTCTGTGTCCAGCCACTGATGAATGGATAAAGAAAACGTGGAGCCCATGCACAATGAATGTGATTCAGACAGAAAAAGGATGAAATGCTGTCATTTGCAACAACACAGATGGAGCTGAAGATCACTATTATGTGAACTCTGCCAGGCACAGAAAGACAGGCACTGCCTGACCCTGCTCATGTATGGAACCTGAAATAGTTGGTCTCATGGAAGTTGAGAGAACAGTGGCCCCAGGAGACTGAGGAGAGAGGGACAGGAGAGGCTGATCAATGGGTGTTAGGTCATGGAGGAAGAATCATGGTGTGCTATTTCATAGTAAGGTGCCTGCAGACAACAATAAAAAAATGTACTTCTGTAAGGACAAATTTTATTTATTGCCCTTTGCCGTGCACGGTCTCCTAATTAATTTGGCTCGATCCGCTAAAAGAACGTCCACCAGCCTTAAATAAGTACAAAAGGGAAAGTTTATTGAAGGATATGCGCATACAGAAAACAAAAGTAAGAATGGAGAGGACAAAGAAAGAGGAGAGTCCTCCAACAGCAAGAGGGACTCTATCCGGGAAATTATCCTTAGGCTCTCTGGCAACAACACCGGAATGTTGGAGGAATTAGGTTCATCACTCGCAACACAGCACGGGTCTCTTCAGCAATCCCTTCGGCTACAGGTCTCAATCCCGGGCGTAAGACAGCGGCAGCAGCCTGGGCTAGGTGGGCTGTTTATATAGCTCTCTAGACAAAGGTAGTAAATCTATCTGTACTTTTGGCTCGAAAAAGGTGAATGTGCTTGCAGTCACGTCCCAACCGGGCCCTGGCCAGGGGTCCGGGAGGGGCGGAATGCATCACATTCCTTATCTTGATGTTAAGAACATCTGGTCTTTTTAACAAAGTCCTCCCTGTTTTTTCCCAGGAACTGGCCAGGTATCCAGGGAAAGAAGAGGTGAACTAGTGATTATGCGCCTTAGAGAGCCGAAAGCCTTAACCCAAGCCTTTCCAACTTAAAGTTTTAACTTTCCTTACAACTTCATAACTCAAAAAGCAAAAAGGAAGGACTTTGAATGTTCTTATAACAAAGAAATAAAAAATATTTGAGGAGATAGATGTATGTACCTTGATCTGAACATTACATATGTATATATACATTGAAATATCTCATGGTACCTCAAATATGTATACAATTTTAATGTATCTATTAACAAAACTAAGAAATAATGTAAAAAAAAACCCACCCCAGGCCTGTCAGATTTGTCCTTTAAATGCAAGACATGGACCTTATTGGACCTTGATTCAGACAAACTAACTATAAAAAATATTTTTGAAATAATCAGAGTACTTTGAATATAGACAGGGCATGCAATGCTATTAAGGAATGAATTATTGTTGCTGTGCTTGTTAGATTTTTAAAAGTCTTATCTGGAAGAGATGCATATTGAAGGATTTGTACATGGAGTGATAGGTTTGAGATTTGCTTTAAATATTCCAGAAAAAAAAGGCAGAGAGGAGTAGAGATGAAAAAGGGGTGCAGCAAAATGTTGCCAATTCTTGATCAGGGAGGACAAGAATTGGGAACCACAGTCCTATATTGTTCTATACTTTTGTTATATTTGGAAATTCCTGCAATGAAGCTCTCAGTTAGTGAGACCTAGGGCCATTGGTGACCTGTGCAGAGATCTCACTTGGCTCACTTTCCCTCTTTTCAAGGCTTCGCCGCCTTTGGGATGAAGAAGTCTCAAGGCATGGGTGTGAAAAGGCTTCTTTGCTTCGAGTGATGCTGCGATTCCAAAGGACCAGGATGATTTTCAGTGTATTTATGAGCTGGTGCTTCTGTGTTATGAGTATAGTAGGACCAGTAAGTGCAGATGTGATGAGGTTTGGGGACTCTGGGCTTTAGAGACTAGAAGTGGAACAAGGGGCATATCTACACCTGGAGTTGGGGATGATGTCTCTCAGCTGCTGTGCAGAAAATGAGGACTTTTGTGGGGGAGGAGAGTGTAATAGCAGTTTAAACTGTCGCCACCTGTTCAGTTCAAATTTTAGTTCTGCTATTTAATTACTAGGTGACTTTGGATGATTTAATTATTCTTTCTGTGTTTTGATTTCCTCTCTGAACCCCATAGCACCCTCTGAAAGCACAGTATAAACTGCCCATAGGGTGACATTAAATGAGTCTCTAACAGAACACGGCCTAGCTGGATACATGTCTGCTGCTTTGAGAAATGTCTCAGCAGCTTGGCAATGGAGGCAGCAGGAACTCATGGTCTTTGTGTATCATGGTTGGGATCAATGGGCTCTATTACCTGTCCCCTCAGCTCCTGATTTCAAAGGAAGGGTCTGCCTGGTTCAGCTGGGGTCACTTCCTCATGAGCTGGCCAGTGGATGGTGGGCACTTTGATGGACAATCCAGTCCAATCTGCACAGTGGTAGGTGAGAGTGTTCCCAGAAGAAAAAGGGGCATTGTGACCCCCTAAGGGGAGACTGAATGTAGATCAGAAAGGAACAGGCACTGATGACTCCATGGACCTCCGATTTGTGGGGTGGTTAGTGTGTTGAGTCGTCTCCTCTCAGTCTACTCTCCAGCATTTCCCACCCTACCTGTGCTCAGTGTGGAACCTGTAAGGATCGCATTAATGGGGTTCCCTGGCTCCTGGTCATGTGGTTCAGTTTGACCACTGGTGGCAGGGTTAGGATTCAGATCTGGGTCCCCTGAACTCCTAAGTCTTTGGGCTTCTTGTGGGCAGAACTGTGCTTCGGTCTGTTTTCATCCTCACCAAATCCCTGACATTAACCTTGACCTCCCAGTCCTTCTTTGAGGCAAGAAACATCAAACATGTGCCTGAAGAACTGGGGGGATCCAGACAGTCCACATTCCTGTTTCTTGTAGATGCTGGTTATACCAAAGATCCTAGAGTTTTCCGAAGACCAGTCAGGGAATATCGTCTATGGTGCGGGCCTCTGCTTTGCCCTTTTCCTCACTGAGTGTCTGAAGTCTCTGAGTTTGTGCTCCTGTTGGATCATCAACCAGCGCACAGCCATCAGGTTTCATGCAGCCATTTCCTCTTTTGCCTTTGAGCAGCTCCTGCAGTTTAAATCTCTGACACACATCACCTCTGGAGAGGTGAGTGATGTGGGTGGCATATCCCAGGCCCAAGTTCCTTATCTCCTGCTGACATCACCACAAGGAAGGGAAAAAAGGAGTGGGGGTGGAAAGGGGGAGTTAGGAGAGGAAGAAGAGAGAAAATAATTCCTAGGCTTAGCATTGATAACATCCATAACTGTCTGTGGGTGTCGAAAGTGCAGCAGGAGCTGCGCTTGCATTCAGAGTCCTTGGAAAGGCGCCATCTCCTCACGCAATGGTCACCTATGGGGCAAGATTCTAGTCTGGGCCCTGGGGAGACAGCTGTGGACTGAGGATGCAATCCTGAGTAGAAGCACATGGGCAAGTGCACCCTCTGAGTGGGCTAGTGGTGAGGGAAGGGGAGGACTTGGAGCTTAAGGAATTCTTCTGGGGAAAGAGATCGTAGGTAACCCTCTCAGAGTTTTAATTTTCTTATTGCAAAAGAAGAATACTTATACTTGAAGGATTGCTGTTATTGACTCTTCAGCCTTTGATCTTACTTTTCTTTCAACTTACCACAGAGAGACACTGCTACAGGCTGGCAAGGGATACTCTGAATTAGGTCCCATTGTTGTGAGGGCTATTAGAAATTCTGTATATTTTATTTCAGTTGCCTTATTTTTCTTTTTCTCATCAAGTGCTTTGAAGGACATGGATTACTTTTGTATTGAAACAGATGTTTAACTTTTTGGAAAAGATAGCATTACTTGGGCGTACACTCATCCTGAAACCAAACCCTTTTGTGGCTGTCATCGGCCCATTTCCAGCCTCCTCTCTTCCCAGATCTTCTCCTCTAGTCCTGGGTTGGCATCTGCCCTGCCATTCAGGGTGGGCTGACCTGCAGTCCCCAAATACAGCACACATACCTCTCTCCTGGTGACTTTGCTCGCATCACCCCACCCTTGGCCTTTTAAAATCCTCTCCATTCTTCAAGGCCCAGCTCAGACGCTTGTCCTTCTCGGTGGTATCTACAAACCCCGCTACTGCCCCTCTCCTCACTAATTTTTACCATTCTTTTTGCACAAATCTGGCTCTACTACTAATAGGAGATCCCTTCAAAGACACAAACTATGTTCGGACTCACCACTTTATCCTGCAAAAGACCCACTACCTGAATCAGACAGGACAGGTGTCCATAAAACACTAAATTAACCACTGCCATGGAGGAGAAGCTTTCTATAAGTTCACATGTGTATGAGCATGAGGAATTTCTTGTAACCATTAACACTATTATTATTCTTCACTATTGTATTGGTTCCGTGATGTTAGTTGATTTGACCAGTTTTCCTGACACTGGAATAAATCTGATAGTATCATTGTCTCGGGATCAAATGAGTTAGTTCATAGGAAGTATGTAAAAGGGGATAGTGATTCATGAACTCAACTGTAGTCATTAGTTTCTGTTAGACATTGAGCTTAGAACCTACTCTGACCTTCTTTGCTTGGCTGACAGTTAAAGCATCCTTGTTTATTTTGGGAAGGATGCTACAACAGTTGCTAAGTTACTCCAAAATTAGTCATTGTCCCAAGGACTTCTTATGTTAGCTCAGTTAGTCCTCTGACATCCCTCTCACATATTAGGGTCTGTTATTGCTCCCCTCTTTATAGAGGAAGAAACGGAGGCTATGTCACAGTGGGTAACTTTTACAGGGTCACAAGACTGGAATGCAGCAGACTTGGATTTGTCCCCTTGGCCTGGCCTCTACTCGGATCTCTAGCCACTGTACATACCTGCCTCACTTAGGAGACCTGGGCTGAGGCTTGCCTTAATTCCCTTTTGCGTGCTATATGTAGGTTCCAATTTTTCCCACACATTTTCACAGAAGCCTGCAGCAAAATGCCCCATTTGAAAGTGGAGATGGAACTAATTACTCAAGGGAGGATTTCTGGAGTTGCTTCCAAGCACTTTAATTTAAACTAATTTAAGAAACCCACCTAAATGAATTCTCCATGGGAACAACAACAGAATTGTACAGAGGATGACCTAGACCAGACCACTTCCCTATGCCCAGAGTTAATACAATCATCAATTTGGTCCATGTTCTTCTAGACCCTTGAAAGTACATGTAGGTATACTTGCAAGTTACCCATAGAAAAGATATTGCATTGGGTCTGAATATTTCCACATAAATGGTACTATATTTTACATAATATTCCGCAATTTGGTTTTACTGCTAGCAAATGCACAGTATAGGTTTTGGAGTGAGTTTTTACATCAATGGCCCTACAGTTGCTTCTGGTAT